CCAAATATTTTAGTTTTGGCAACTAAACTTTCTTTTTGTCGCTGAAATTACGGTTTTGGCGATTAAAAGTTTGGCCGCCAAAGAGAAAAATTATTTTTTTATTTTCCATTCGGCTACTAAATATTTTAGTAGCGAAAAGTCAATATTCGGCTACTAAAATTTTTTTTTGTTGCTGAAAGTACATTTTTGGCGACCAAAGTTTAGTCGCGAAAGAGAAAAAATCATTTTTTTATTTTTTATTCGACCACTAAATATTTTAGTAGCCAAAAGTAGATAATTGGCGACTAAACTAATTTTTAGTCGCCAAAACCTATACTTTTGGCTACTAAACTTTTTTAGTCGCCAAAAACTTTTACTTTTGGCTACTAATGTTGTTTTAGTCGCCAAAACCTATACTTTCAGCTACTAAAATTTTTTTTAGTCGCCAATTAGTCGCCGTAGGTGCATTTTCTTGTAGTGTTACGTGTGTTTAGTATCTTTTTTATATTTGTTAAGTTTATTTATAATACTGGTTATGTTGGACAATTTTTTCATACTTGAATGTTTTGATGAGCTAAAAATGTCAGCATCAGCGGCACGGATAAATTGATAATCATTAAAGAGAAGAAACAATCATAATTTTATGGACATCATATTTTATTCCAAAAAAAAATTAACAATGCAACAATAGAATCTACCTACAAAATTCTTGAAACTATATACACTCCTAAAAGATACATACAGTATGCATTAAAAATTTATGTCACAAAGATTCATAACTTCTACGAATTTGAATCATAACCAAAACCAAAATGATTCACTACAAAAGCACCACAAAAACTTCATAACCAAGGCCGTTTCAACTCATAATAAAACACCACAAAGCCTCATAATCAAAATCACTTCAATTCCCAACCAAATACCACAAAGCCTCGTAATCACACACATTGAAAACTACATTTGTAATCAAGAATTAATCGTACTTACAAAACTCTTAATCAACTCAATATAAATAAATAAAGTATAATTTTTTTTTCAACGACTTTCATTATTCTTCATAAATTCTTCTACAAATTCAAAAGTCAAACACAACTTAAAAATATCTCACAAGAAAAACAACTTACTTTTTTTTAAATTAAAAACAGGCACTATTATAGTAACTAAAGAGTGTGTTTGCTTGGACAGATTGGATAAGCGGAGATTGTAAGCCACCGGACTGTTAGTCCTAAGATACATTGTCCCTAAATTATTTGGTTGGACTGAATTTATATTATATGTTTGTTTAGTCGTGGGACTAGATATCTGAATTATACTATTTTAGTAAAGCTTATGTTTATTTAGGATATTATGGAAAATAATAAATGCTCAAAAGACTATTTTGCCCTTTTAAATTATTTACTAAATAATAGAAATATTAAATCTGAATTATTAATTATATTTTATTTTTTTACTAGAACTTTTAAAAAATTAAATAAATAGAATATTAATAAAAATTACCTAAATTTATTTTAATTTATAGTTGAGATTTTTAAATTTTATTTTACTTTACAAAGTATAATTAATACGATATTATTAAAATAAATAATTTAATAAAGTATAAATAATTTATTAAGTATAATAGTATAATTAAATTAATTACAAATAATTTAATAAATAAATTTTGAAAAAGATATTAAATAGTGGACGGTCAAAAATGTAATTTCATTTTCTAATCCATGAGACGAGTTATCCTATGGATTATATCCCACCCCCATGGGATAGAATAATCTCATAGATTTGAGATTCATAGTCCGGTACAAAAAATTTCAATCAAACAACGAATTATTAGTCCGGATGAACTATTAATCCCATCCCATACTTAAATCCTTCCAAACCAACACCACCAGAGTAAGGCCACGAGGTCGGTAAATGTGTGGTCCATCTGCATCTGGTGTGGCTTCCACCATCATCCTTTAAAAAAGTTTGGATTCTCCATTTCCATTGTAAGTGCTTCATAGTGAGAAGGAACAAAGTAAAGCCATAGAAGCCATGGAAACAAGCCCTACCACTATACCTCTCCATCTCTACTTTCTTCTACTCCTTTGCCTTCTTTGTCTTGATGTTTCTCTCTCTATGACCAGTGATGCAATTGTACAATGCAACGGATCGATAACAGAATGTAATATCGACTTGGAGATGGTGATGGAGTCAGAACAGTCAGTTAATCTCTCTACTCGGCTGTTGGTGTTGTGCGATCAGTTGGCCTTGTGTTTTGGCATATCCTTAATTTCGGGGATGGAATTCTTTAAGGGAGGGAGGTTATAGCGATCCCGATTTTCTCTGGTATTGTTGAGTTGTAATCCGGACTTGGTACCGTAGATCTGTCGTTGTCTTATCCTCATTTCTATCCCTTACTCTTTGTTTTAGAGTTTTGGGTTGTGTTGGGCGTGTTTCGAACAGGTTGGTTGAGCCTTAGTCCCATTCCTTGTCGCCTAGATTTTTGGTGGTACGCTCGAGCGACTCTCTTTACGCTCGAGCGGGGTTTACACACTTCCTGTATTTCGTGCCTCTGTAAAACTTCTGCAGATGTGTTTTCTACGCTCGAGCGGATTTCTTTACGCTCAAGCAGGTAGTACTTTTTGGTGTAAGTTCTGGGAGGGGGAAATCTACGCTCGAGAGGACTAGTTTTCGCGCTCGAGCAGATGTACTTTATTTCTTGTGTCTTGGCGCTCGAGCGGGCCTTCTTGCACTCGAGCGTACCTAGTTTTTTGTCCTTGACGCTCGAGCGTTGTGTTCTCCGCTCGAGCGGGAGAGTTGTATATCAGTTGGCAGCTAGGCTATTTTAAATCACTTTTTACATTTCCTTTCTCTCTCTTACTTTCCCAAAATCGATTTTGAGAGCTCCTCACTCTAAAACCTAACTTCTCTCTAGGGTTTGATCTAGTAGGAGTGTTTTCCTCACCTTTGGCCTTTACAAAAAGTGTGTTGATCATTGAGGGCTACATTTTGATCCGAGAAATTTGGTGTTTGGAGCACTTCCGAGTTTAGCTCTTCTTCTCCTTGGGCTCTACATTTGAGGTAGGGATTTCCTTGTTCTTTTTCAATACTTCGTCTATGGATAGACATGTGGCAGTTTTGTATTGCATAAAAATCATATCCATGTTGGATTTGTTTGAAATCATGAGAAGGAACCTAGGGTTGGGTGTTTGAAAAATGGTTATGTTATCATTGATGGTTGTTTTGGGCTAATTGGTGTGTAAATTAGCATGTTGTAGTTGAAAGAAGGAAAAGCCCTAAATTATATTTTGATTTGATAAATTAAAATGGAGGATAGTTAACCTATATTGTAAATCTCTATTGTTAATGTGAGTTGGGTGAAGGTGTTAATGCCTAAGGGGTTAACTTTGGCTTTGGAATGGTTTTGAAATGAATGTAGTGGACTAATGTGAGTTATGGCTTTCTTATCAATGGAATTGGTTTTTGTAAAACAAAATGAATGGATTTGGTTTTGTGACAACAAAAGGGACGGAGTTGGTTTTGTGAAAACAAAAGGAAATGGAACTTGTTTTGTGAAATGGGAAAAGTATTTCTGAAATACGTATGAAAATTGGATTGTTGTCTCTTGAGTGTTGAACACACACATGTGAGGGATTGCATCTTTAACTACCATGTTAATGTTGTTGTTGAGTTTGTGGTCTCATAGTAATTGAGTCTTTAATAGATGTACTAAATATTTGCATCTAGAGGTTTTGTCCTTGGTCATCAGTGGAGGATGACACAGTTGTGTTGAATTGTCGTGTATGCATTATACCATTGTTGATGGAACATCGTATGTGATGAAGTGTTGAGATACATTATATATGTATGCTTGCTCGGAAGGAGGTAGTTTTGTGTTCATATACTTTAACACATTGCTTGTATCTTGATGGTTTGTGTATATGTGTTATACATGTTGGTTATGCCCTGTTGTGTTTGGTTGGTGGTGTTATACCTTGCGCTAAAAATCAGAGGTACCGTGACCTTCCAGCTTGCGCCTGGAGAACTGACTGCGCTGAGAATATAAGGCACCATACCCTTCCAGCTAGCGACTGGTAAACTGGCATGTTGTTGTGAGAGATGTATCTTTGGCTTACTACGCACATAGCTAGTAGAGCAAAGTTTTGTTGTTGATATTTCAGTGTGTCTGGGAATATCATGGATTGTGTCGGTTACAGTTTTGGAGGGCCGAGTTGCCTCGTTGGTTTATCTTATGCATGTTGGTGAGTTGTTATCTCCCTTTTTTTAATGGTGCATGTCTAGATTTAATTGTATCGGGAAGAAGCCAAAATGTCATTTTTGTCTTTTGGAATGAATGAAGGAGAATGGATATTTTAAGGAGATATATGTTTTGAAAAGGCATATCTGTGTATGTTAGGAAATTGGAAGAGAGTAGTGGGCTTAGTGAATTTGTTTCCTAAGGTAATGTTAATGTTATGAAAGATTGGGAACGGGGATTAATGAAAAGAAAAGAAAATTGAATCGCCTATGGCGTTGATTGAAATGGTTGTTTTCAAGAAAAGTTCATACTTATGTATATTTTGTATAAACTGTCACATTACTATTCTAGTATGAGATTGGGTATTCATGATCATAGCTATCTGTATGTTGTTATTGTTGAGGGCCATGTTGAGATCTCTACTGGACTATATGTTCATCCCATGTTGTTGAATCTTTTTCAGGTGTTGAGCTGAATGTGCTGCAAGATTTGGATCTTCTGATTTGTTGGCCACGGGGCCTCCCTTATATGGGCGGAATGCCATATGTGTAAAAGGGTTGCACCCTTCTTCTTGATTTGTTGTTAATGATGTAAGCCAAAGGGCAATTTATTTATTATACTCATGTTGTATTTACTTGCATATGAATGAGAGCAATGTTATTCAATTCTACGAGTTGAATATACGAGTTTATTTCCGCATGTTATCTCTGAATGGAATTAAGTAAATGAAATTGGTAATACTTCGAGTAATAAAAAGTGGGGCGTGACAATCGGCGTGTATGATTACATGACAAATGGATCCTTGGAAGATCAGTTATTCAAAATAAACAGCAATCCACTGTTGTGGAAAGAGCGACTCAAGATTTGCATTGGTGTAGCACGAGGACTACAACATCTCCATTCAAGTGTGAAGCATGGAGTTATCCACTGTGACGTAAAGCCAGGCAATATTCTGTTGGATGAGAATTGGGTTGCAAAAGTTACTAATTTCACGCTCTCTAAACTAATACCCAATGACATTGCAGATGAATCATTAACAGTTTCAAGGATTCATGGCAATTATGGTTATATGGACCAGGGTATTATCTATATGGAAAACTGACAAAAAATGTAGACGTGTACTCGTTTGGTTTGGTGTTGTTGGTATTATTGTGTGACAAGGAGTTACATGCTTCCACCCAGAATGTAAGTGAGTTGTCCCTTCACCGTTTGTTCAAAAGTAGCTGCAAAAGAGGAAGAATTGATCAAGTCATTGATCCATATCTGATTGGGAAAATAGCACCTGAATGTTGCAAGGAGTTTGTCAAGATTGCATTGAGTTGTATTCTTTATCAGGTAATCCAACGACCCTCGATGGATGATGTGGTAATGAGTCTCCAGTTAGCATTGCAATTGCAGGAGACTTGGGAGACTCGTATCGGGATATTGGTGTTGAGTTATCTATGACCGAACCTAGTTCTTACAACAACGTCTTCTCTACTGAGCCATTCGCTTCAGATACTGATGATGTTCTAAGCTTAAATTCTGATGTAAGATGGAGTGGATCAATGTTTGAATTGGATTTTGATGAGTTAACCCGTTAGCAAAGAGTCCATGCATCTCTGCAAGAGAGCTTGAATTTGGTTCTTTTCACTTGTGTATATGTAAGTCTTTGTTTCTTATGTGTGTTCTGTCACACCCCAAATTCGGGCATGACCGGCCGTGGCCCACAGGGACTTAGCCCAAGGCACACGTAAGCCTAAACACGCATTCAATTTCACCTTGAACAATTAAACAATAGTCGAATAATAAATAACCAAAACTCAATCCAGTGACATGCCACAAGTGAAAAACAAGTCATAACCAACTTCCTAAAAATATATATGTACTAAATGGGACACAAACCGCCCACAAAATAAAATAATTCTAAATAAAACCCAACCACAATGTATGCACAAAACTCGACAAAGCAACCTAAAACAAATTAAATAAATGCCCTAGAGGTCCATGCAATTGAGTCCCCGCTATGCAATGAGTCCACTCTAAGTCCTTCTAACACCTGGAAATCGTAAACAACTAAGTCAGTTGATAGCTCAATGAGTAGCAACATAGATAGTAAATATAGGTTTGAAAACAGGGTTCAATTCCAAAATAAGATATATATCACAGAAACTAGATTGGCATACAGTTTGGTAAATACAATCTGTTTCAAAAAGAAGGTTCCACAATTCAACACTTAAAATACTCATGTCTCGCAAGAACATGATAAATGACATTTTCCACTTAAAACAGATTATAACATGAACACCAATAATATTCTGGGTACCAAGAAAAACAAATAATCTGCCACACAGTTCTCAAGGCTAGCTAATTTTATATCTTGAATGACACCCATCAGCAATCATAGGTGTTTGTCAATTTTTTCATTATTATTTGTTTTCAAAAACACAAAATACGAAAATGAAAACGAAAAACAAAAACATTAAAATGAAGATTATACCATACAAAATCTTGTAAGAGTCTTACATTCCTTGACCCCATTTTTTTTTTATCTTTTTTGTTTGTACATATTATTTCTCATTGTAATTAGTGTCTGACTCCCAAACACTTTTTAGGTTTATGATTTGGTGGGACTAACAGAGCTTTACTATGCCAGTAATCATGGTATGGACATCATGTGCCCAGTCAAAGATAGTGTATCTGCTAACACATCAAATTGTATTAAATTTTCCGATCAGCAGGTAAGCTATTACAAGTCTTGGATAATACATGCAGGTAAAAAGAAACACAACCAATTAAATATCTAATACATCTTCATAAGTCATAATAATATATGCATGGATATAGGACGGGATTCCCAATTTGAAAACTATGTAGAAAAATACACTTTTTCAAACTAAGTCCAAAAATGCATTTTTCCAATACTTAGGCTTGAAAATAGGCCATCGAGGGCTTAAATCGTGAAAAAGCTACAAGAGGTGCTAGCCAGAACCTCAAACTAAAGCGCACTAACACGGCTCAACCCAACTCACCGTTACTCTTAAATATTACCTAAGTTCATGTTCTTCAAGGTTTAAAATCACCCAAGACATGGGTTCCGGTCAAAACTTAATTAATTGTGACTTTAAGATAAAACAGAATTTCAAACAAGCCTTCCCAACCTATTCGCTAACTTTGAAAATTACAAAACCCACTCCACGCTATTCGAAAAATTTCAATAACGTCCAGATATGATCTAATATATCCTAAGTTTCAAACCCAATTGGTTTCACTTGATTTGCTTATCAAAATAATTAGGTACAATTTATTATATCCAAACAGGTTGTTTTCTGCAGCACTTTAAAGAAATTGACGGTTCTCTTAATATACACGAGCAATCAATGCAAGGCCAAAAATGTGCGAAACTAGACTCGTAACCGGTTCTAATGACACTAATTTGATAATTTTTAGATTTATACCCAAAGAGAACAACACTCCCGAATTTATTGTTTCGGACTGGTTTCCTGGACAGATTTGAATACCTCAATTTATATAGATTTCGACTCCCAAAAATTATGAAAAAAAAAATCAGATATGCAATTCAATATGTAATTGAACTACTGTAAAAATTTCAGATTAAAATTCATCAGTTTGATATGGTTTCTTGATTTTTAAAGTTCGTGATTATGCGCAGAATTTTTTTAACTAAGAATAATACTCATTCTTTATACATGAATTTAACTCCTCAAATTTCTTAACAGTGTATACATATATATATACAAAATACATAAACCTACAACCTCTCCATGAATGAATAAAATAATTATAGAATAAGGATGTAGAACAAAGAAAGAAGAGAAGAAAACCTAGGAGGGCTAACCTTTGATGATCACACACAACACAACACACCCAAACGTTCTTTGATTGCAACATCTTCTTCTTTTTTCTCCTTCTCTCAAACCCTTTCCCGTGGCTGCTGTGTTGTTGCCCTATGTGGTGAACAAATAATAGAGTAGGGTTTGTGTTTATTTTATTTTATACTAGTGGTGGGCACACATAGGTCAAAGAAATAGATAAATATACAAAACATATATGTAAGTTATATGCAACTCAAATGGTAGGAGTCTTATATATTAACTTTGTAGTCTAGAGTTCAAGTCACACCCTTCTTTCTCTCACTTTTTTTTTTTTTTTTTTTTATAATAAACCTTGTCTCTAAATTAAAGACTTTCACCATAAATTTATTTTAGGTTTAAAAATTAATTAAAAGATCCTCCAATAATATTTAATTTGCACCTTAGAATTCACCACCAAAATATTTGAGATTGTAATATTATTATTTAATTATTTACTTAATCTTTATATTCGGGTTCTCACATTCTCCCCCCCTAAAAGAAAAGTTTCGTCCTCGAAACTAACCCGAGTAAATCGTGAGAATAGATGTGGGTACTTCATGCGCATCTCATCCTCGCGTTCCCAAGTCGCCTCTTCAACTTGATGATTATGCCACAATACCTTAACTAATTTAATGGTCTTTGTACGCAACATTTTCTCTTCCGAATGGAAAATCTGAACAGGCATCTCCTCATACGAAAAATCCTCTCTAATCTGAAGCGGCTCATAATCTATCACATGCGACGGACTGTGCACATATTTCCTCAACGTGGACACGTGAAACACATTATGCACTCCTGCCAACCTAGGGGGTAGAGCAACACGGTACGCAATCTCACCAACCTTCTCCAATACCTCAAATGGACCAATGTATCTAGGACTCAACTTTCCTTTCTTTCCAAACCTAATCACTCCTTTCCATGGTGATACTTTCAAGAATACCATATCCCCCACATGATACTCTAAGTCTCTCCTACGATGATCAGCATAACTTTTTTGTCTACTCTAAGCTGTCAATAATCTCTCTCTGATGGTGATAATTTTCTGTGTAGCATCCTCCACCAAATCAGGTCCTAACATTTCCCTCTCACTAACCTCATACCAACACAAAGGAGACCTACACTTCCTCCCATACAAAGCCTCATAAGGAGCTACTCCCAAACTAGAATGATAACTATTATTATAGGCAAACTCCATGAGCGGCAAATAATCATCCCAATTACCTCTCCACTCCAAAGCACAAGCCCTCAACATATCCTCAAGGGGTTTGAATAGTCCTCTCTGATTGCCCATCTGTCTGAGGGTGATAAGCTGAACTAAAATTTAACCAAGTACGCATAACTGACTGTAACGCACCCCAAAACTTAGACACAAAACGAGGGTCCCAATCTGACACTATTGACACAGGTGCACCATGCAATCTAATAATCTCCTTCACATACAACTGTGCAAATCGAGCTAGAGAATAGTTCATCTGAACTGCAATAAAATGTGCTGACTTGGTTAATCTATCAACGACAACCCAAACTGCATCGTGATTACTACTAGTACAAGGTAAACCACACACAAAGTCCATGGTATCATGATCCCACTTCCACTCTGGTATAGGAAAGGGTTGTAGTTTCCCCGCAGGTTTCTAATATTCTACTCTAACTTGTTGACACACCAAACACTGAGCCACAAATTCTGCAATATCTCCCTTTATACCATTCCGCCAAAAATGTTCATAAAGATCCCGATACATCTTAGTACTTCCAAGATGAATGCTATAACTATCACTAGAACTATGTGCCTCTACCATAATCTCCTTCCTCAAATCACCACCAACAGAATCACAAATTCGACTACGGAATCTAAGCAACCCGTCATCACTAACCACAAAGTCTACATTCTTACCCTCTGCCATCTCTCCTTTAATATGCTCACACTGGGGGTCAATCTCATGTGCTAAACGAATCCGTTCTCTCAAGGTTGGCTGAACTATCAATTGACTACAATAAGCCCTATCACCAGGCATAACAACCTCAAGCCTCAAACGTCTCATGTCTTCCACAAAACAACTCTTAATACACAAAGCAGCTATATCTCCAATTGCGACTTTCCTACTCAAGGCATCTGCAACCACATTTGCCTTCCCCGGATGATATAAAATATTCACATCATAATCTTTTACTAACTCAAGCCATCTTCTTTGCCTCAAATTTAGTTCCTTCTGTGTGAAAATATACTTCAAACTCTTATGATCAGTGTAAATCTCACATGACTCTCCATACAAATAATGCCACCAGATCTTAAGAGCAAAAATCACTGCTGCTAACTCTAAGTCGTGCGTAGGATAGTTTCTCTCATATACTTTCAACTATCGTGACGCATAAGCAATCACCTTCCCATGCTGCATGAGCACACATCCTAAACCCTGTCATGAAGCATCACTATAAATCACAAAACCACCTCCATCTGTAGGTAAGGCAAGGATTGGAGCTGATGTCAATCTCTGTTTAAATTCTTGGAAACTACGCTCACAATCATCATTTCACTCAAACTTTACCCCTTTCCTGGTGAGATTGGTAAGTGGCAAAGCAATACAGGAGAATCCTTCCACAAACTGCCTGTAATATCCAACAAGCCCTAAAAAGCTACGTACCTCTGTCACAGAAGTAGGTCGTGGCCAATCACAATTGCTGCCACTTTCGTGTTATCCACAGATACCCCATCTTTACTCACCACATGA